TTTTAGACCTATTTTAGACCTGTTTTAGACCTATTTTAGATCCTGTTTTAGACCTGTTTTTAGACCTGTTTTAGACCTGTTTTAGTCCTGTTTTAGATCTGTTTTTAGGCCTGCTTTCTCCGCTTTCGCAGCCCAGTACCAAACAACCCATGGCCCAGGAGTGGGGAACCCCTGCTTTAAGTTACTCTCACTTAGTAGTTTTCCAAAATACATTTTTACTCTTACTTGAGAGATTTTATTGGCCACTAGTTTGTACTTCTACTCAAGTAACATTTTGAAGTTACATTATTCTTACTTGAGTAAATTTTTTGGCTAGTTTACCCGCCTCTGCAAGAAGGTCAGAAGGTAACATGTGCAAAATGCTAATCTCCCTGCTGGGCCCTTGACCTAAAGCTCATTTCAATATTTGGAAGGGGTCTCTGGGTGCTTCTCTGTGGTTTCTTGTTGCTCCCTAACATTTGTAATAAAACTAAAATATGTATTGCTTGTATTTCAGACCATGTTTGTTGAGTGCTGGCAGGTTTTATACATAGTAAAACCACATTGAAACTTTCACAATATCTCCACATTTTCCAATAAATTCATTCTTTGTTCAGCTTTATGAAATCCATCTTTTTTAAGGTTTTTTTTTAAAGCTGCATTACACAATATGTGAGCTTTTAGTCATGTTATAATATTTTTTACCGCATCAAAAACAGACCTGGAGTTGTGTTTTGTTTCATTCGCACATGCTTGTGTAATCCTTCATTATTGGTCTGTCTACATCTCCAAAGTTCAAAGTGCTCAGTTCCACCTTGTGATGTCATGAAGAGGTAGTTTTCAAGTTAACTGCTACTCTTTACCTTCACTAGATTTAGAGATTGGCAAGTCCAGACCTGAAATCAATCAAATGACTGTTGAAGGTGTATGGAGTTTTAAAACATGGTGGAGCACTTCTTGTATTACCACATGACATCACAAGGTGGAAGAGAGTGTTTTCTGTTTGAGAGAAGAACTCAGTCTGAATATGCAGGGTTGTGTGTTAAACATGTGTGAATTAAACAAAACACAACTCCATGTTTTTGATTAGGAAACAACATTGTAATAGAGATCAGAAAAGGCGTGTTAAGGTCATTGTGACATAACCAGCCGAACAAAAAGCACTTCAGATTTAACTTTACTTTTCTTGAATATTCACGATTAACCATTAATAATCATCAGGACAAGTTAGACAGGATAATGAACTTTTTAATTACCTGTTTACTTTAAGCTGACCTATTACTCAAAATCACCTTTTTAGTACTTTTAAACATGTTATAGTTGTTACTCCTTGTCATTTTTTCCACACTTGAAGTTGTGTTTAGTGTGATTCATGCATGTTTGACTAATCGTTATTCTCCTGTGTTAAAGAAATCATTGTTTTCGTTGACCTCCGTTTTCACTGCCACTGGCATACGCCCACTGCCCTCTACTTTTTCTTTTTTATTATTATGTTGTTGTTTTTTTTTGTTTTTACATATATATAAACATGAAAACAAGACACAAATACATAAAACTTACTTAATCTTACAGAAATATCTAGAAGACTAGATACACTGTCTTTATTGTAAACGACGACTATTAACTAAACACATGCTTTTACCTTTTCTTTTGATACGATTATAAACGATAACTTTTATGACGATTATGAACGATAAACTTCTTTTTGAAACTATGTCATGAACAGGGGTGGGTTCGTAGAAGTTTTTTCATATTCCCACTCCTTTTCAACAAATGTGTTTTTCTGTCATTTACAATGTGGGTCCGGTCAAGCGGTAATGGAGGGAAACAGGGGCACATTTTTTACGATAACTACCGGTTCTCACTTACATATCCTTAACAAACTGGTTTGAATATTTGCTTAATATAGTTTTCTACCATATGGTACAAGATTAGGTTGAAAAACCTCTTACTTTTTGAGTAAATGAGATTTTTTATTAAGAAAGGTCATGGTAATGGAGGGAAAAGTAACAGAGGGGAAATTGTGTGTCAGCTTTTTATTACTTTTTATTTATTATATTACTTCAAAATGAAAGGTAACTATTTCTATAAAATATGTCAGTCCTTCCAAGCAAATTTTTATCATTTTAAATCCTTTTTTTTTTTTTTTTAATCATGTACCTTCATTAACAGTTCAAAGATCGAATAACACAAGATATGATGAAATACATCAATTTATTTACATGATTTGCAGGTCTTTGAAATTTGGGAAATAATTTTTGTTCCATGTTTCATACATGGTCTGTTTAAAACGTATGTAACTTTAGAACCAAAAATGGTACAGAAAAAAGGTAAACAGTTTCATAAACTAGAGTACATATGTATCTGTTGAATACATTTTTATATCAGATGCATTAACTTGAATTTTTGGCCTTGCTGTATACTTCTGCTTGACCGGGCCCATGTGTATGTTGTATGTGTATGATTTTTGTTTCTCTCTGGACACAAACTTGAAATTAATAAAAACAAACAAACAAAAAAAACAATAAAACAATGTCTAAAACAAACAAAAATAATAATAATGTCATAGTGCAGCGTAACCATACTGCCAGGCCTTCTTACATTTACATACTTCGGCCTATTTACAGCTCTCTGCTTGCTTCATCCTACTGTTTTGTTTTCTATCAGTGTTACATGAAGGACTCAGCAGCGTCACTCACTCATATTGGTACAAATGAAAAATATCTGGTTTTCGCTTGCGTGATGTGCAGCTGTCAGTCTTAGGTGCTTTATTGTGATGTTTACGGTGATGTCTGCTCCCACTCGGCACCGCAGTTTACGAACACAGACGTCAGTGGGCATGTTTCTTTTGTTAAGTTGTTTTCATCAATATAGCAATTTAAAAAGTCCAAATAACAACATAATGATCCACGGGTGTCATAGATTATATAACTGTATAGAAAGACATGCACAATATATCTTCTTTAAATAATTTCAACTTTTGTTATTTCGTAACATTCTTCACAAGATCGAAGAATGAATCATATGGGGAGGATAATTACATTCAGTTACATAGCTTTCATCTTTTCACAAACACAATAATTACTTTTTACTAATACCCACTGACTCACTTTTACTACTTTACTGCTATAAACCCTGCACTTACTCAGAAGACTACTCACATCTTAGTCACGGCTCTTAGTCTTACAATTGGAGCCTGTTTTATGTCGGAAATCCTCGTAAATCAACAGATAAGACCCATCTTTGTACACTGGAAGTGGATAAAAGTGCATCGTTCAAATATATTTACCCATTCTCCCAACACAAAGAATATGTTTCCAATCAGGCAGAGCAGGAGTCCCCCACAATCCCCGGTCCACATGAGAGAAACAAGATGCCTTTTGTTCACTGGCCTGGCAGAGAGCTAACATCAAGATAATGTTCGCTAGTTTGACCTGCATTTGCATGTAATGTTGAACGTATGTCAAAAACAACTGCGAGAAGAAGAAACTGTGCAGGAAAAGTGTTAGCTCTAAAGTGGCTGAAAGATGTCCAAGTATATAATTGTGTTTGAGGCCTATGCCTGTAGAATGTAGTGTTGTCGTTTCAGATCAGCCACAGCGTGTAGCATTTTTGGTTTCATTCCAACAAACTTCACTTTTGGTTTTCTCCTCTGTGAAGTTTGGGTTCAGTTTAGACTTTGTTAATAACTTTTTAATGACAAATGTGTCAGATGACTGGCTGCTGTTCTTATGCCTACTGGGAGGTAAAATGCTATATTAATAAACGCTGCAGATAAAGCTTAACAGTAACTACAGTGACTGACTGAAGCCTTTGTGAGAGACTGCACATGGCAGTTTCAAAGTTCAAGAGTCTGGTCATACGATTAAAGGCAGAACATCTTGGATTGTTGGAGCTGTTGGTTTCAAGTTGGTTTCTCTGCTCTAGTAACTTGTGTCAGCTGTGAAGAGCACATCATGCTGGGTATTAAAACAGTCAGGAGCATGTTCTGGGCAGGGTTCAAACCCTGGTTTCCAGTGTGTAAGTCCACCGACAAACCCAATATACCACAGAGTTATGGGAGACTTCCCTTTGACATAATAAAGCAGTTAGTCATTGACAACAAGTGACTTGTGGAGTTTGATAATATCTTCTGTAGATGGAACCTTGCATTGTAGTCTATGGTAAAATTGTCAAGTTGTTTAAATTAATCAATGGAAAACAGGTTGAATGGTAAATCTCAGTCAAAGGGTTGAAGAGTTGAAACCCGACACATTTTTGGCAGAGGCCATATTAACACGATTATTATTAGTGCAAAACAGAAAAATATCAGCTTTGAGCTTTTACCTTGTCATTTACACGATTCTTTACATTTCATGGCTCTAAACGTATTATTTGATGAATAACTTATGTCCTGATTTGAGCTGATTGCAGTCCTAGTGTGGATTGGGTTTGGTCCTATTCTAATCCTGGTTTAGTCATAGTCCTTTTAATAGCACGGTCCAACAACTCGGTCTTACTGGAAATGTCTCTGTGTATTAGTGTCTGTGTAAAAGCCTGTTTCTTGGTTCTTCAAGAATATGATGATATCATACTCCCAAACGGGGGACAAGAGACAGTTTTTCCTACTGATAACTTTGTATTTTGCCAGGAAATATCAGAAAGATAAATGATCATTTCTGTTACCGACTAGACGCAAGAACCCACTGTACAACAAAAACCTGCAATTTCACATCATTCATTTCTCTGCCCCCCGTCTGCGTTCAGTGTTACTGACCTGTACAATGTTCTGATGTCATCTGGACCTGGTTTACTTAGACTTCATTTACTAAATTAATATCACTGGCATCACAAATCTGATTGGGAATAACACTGGCATTTCTGTTTAAACTTTAACTTTGTGTTAAAACCAACTATATCTGTCTTGAATGGGACTTTAGACAACTGTTTTCACCGTTACTATTAACAAAGGTTTGTCCCTGCAGGGCTACTGTAGGTCATGTTTCTGTCATTTATCCATCTGACATATTCTTTTCTTTCAGTTGTGAACCAGGATGGACAGCCCCTGATAGAAGGAAAACTAAAGGAGAAGCAGATCAGATGGAGATTTATCAAGCGATGGAAGACACGCTATTTCACTTTGGCCGGGAACCAACTGCTCTTCCGCAAGGGCAGCAAATCGGTATGTAAGCACAGGAAGGAAAAATAAATCTATATAACTTTTGATGTATCTGCCTTGAAATGAATTTCTGCATCAACTATAAAACCTTTCCTCAAACTTGGTGCATGCCAGGTTATCTTATTTTTATTTTATTTGTTCCTTCATAATTTTACTTTGTGTCAGCAGATATGACATATAGAGGTCCATAATGTAAACAAGCTCCACAGTTTAGTGATGTGACTTTCATGAACGAGTCAGCGCTTTTGCATAGTGGTTAAAATAGTTATATAATACAATACAATACAATTTTTCTACATTTTTACACGGGTTAATTCGGAATCAACTCAAGAATCTGGACAGAAGCAGAGTAGCTAACATGAATGTGAGCATTGGTGCACAAAAACATTAATTTGTCATCCTCATAACAGTACCAGTAATTTTGTTAATTATTATTATTGTAGTGCAGCGTTTTATTTAGAGGATGCATAATTTCAAAGGGTAAACACAGCTACATTTTCAGTTTGATCTATTTTAAACACATCTGAGCCTCGGTCCTTTGTCTGTGATTAGTTTATTGTTAAAATGATTCTCACATTGGCTTCCGTCATATAAATACATATGAAAAGAACCTTTCTTTTCAATGGCTCTTTCAAAAGATTCAGATCCCATAAAAAAGCTGAAAGTTTTATCACTGCCACAGCTTGTCTAAATGATTAGTTACGATTAGTTACGATTCGACAAATAAAAACAGAACTCAGTGAATGTTTGAACTGACAAAAGAAAGGTATACAGGTAGAGTTTTATTTGTTATAAACTCACTGCTACTTCCGGGTATTTTTGTACTTTTAAAAAAACTTTTCTTCACAAATTGTCACTATAAAGGTCCTACTGTATATTATGCAACATTGACTCCTGTGAACTTTAAGCCATGTTAAAATGTTGCTACTTCACCAAAAATTGGAGTTGTGTTTTTTTCATTTATGTTTGAGTAACCCCACATTATAGCATTACTGTATGCATCCCCAAAGCTCAAAATGCTCTTTCTGATCTTGTAATGTCATGAGTAGGGCCGGGTATCATTCAGAAGTTGCCGATATGATACATACCTCGATACATAAGCCACGATATGATACATATTTCTCGATACAGTGAGCTTACGATTAGATACGATTCAATACGATATATTTCAACTTGATTCGTTACTGTTCAATAAAAAACTAAGGTTAAATCTTGGCTGTGATATTAAACATTTTTGTTAAACCCCTTCTTGTGCAACGTGAATATGAAACACACCCATTTTAATTTAATTCAAAACAGTGAAAATGTCAAATGTGTTGCATAAACGAGTTTCCTTCCTCTGAACAAGCAAAAAAACTGTAGCACTGTAACAAAATATAAAACAAAATATGTAATATGTATATATGTAACAAATATAAAACTAAATAAAAAACAAAATATAAAACAAAATATTTAGGAAAATATACCAAAAAATACTCTTGGTGATATATTGATACAGCCAATAATATCGATACTGTATCATCACATTAAACTATACGATATATATCGATATTTCGATATTTTTTCACACCCCTAGTAATGTAGCGTTTGTTTGTTTTTTCAAGTTAACACCTACAATTTACCTTTTGTTCAGTAGAAATTGGCAATTCCAGGGCTGAAATTATCCAGATGATTCTAGTGAAGGTGTATGGAGTTTAAAAACACAGTGGAGCACTTCCAATATTCCCATTTAACATCTCAAAATGAAACAGGGTGTTTTGCCTTTGAGAGAAGAACGTAGCCTAAATACGCAGGGTTTGTGTGGTAAACATGTGTGAATTAAACAAAACACAACTCCAGGTGTGTTTGTGATGAGGAAACAACATTTTAACAGAGATCACGTTGGGCCCTCGGGTTCACACAGTCCCCTAAAGCTCATTTTAAAAAGTCCACAATTGGTCTATCTTGGTCTGTCTTTTTGCTACGATGATGAAAGTGTCATCTGGAGAATCCGTCTTTCACTAACTCCGGGCTGTGGGGGGGCATAAGGGGGGACTCCCAAGGCCAGTCCATGAGTCACCCTCCCCACAACCGTAAGTCAAAGCAGATATCATTACACAAGTAGCAAGCACATGGACAATACTACACAATGAATTTTCCTGCTATTACCCAACAATAGTCTTTTAGCTGAGGCTACAAGTTGAGTACCTCCTCCTGAGTCACGGTTTGCACGTAACGCTGTATTAGGAACTTGAGAACAGACCCCTACTTTTAGGGTTTACAGATGATAATAGGACAGATTCCCCATTGTTTCGAAGTACTGCTTTGTTGTGCTGTGTAGCTGAATGATCCCTTTAACTGGGACCAGACGTATGGTGCTAAACAAAGGGCCGATCCGGACGACTTTTGGCACCGGTTTCTTACGGGAAACAGAGGATAGGAGGGTTTTTGTAAATACGCTTTATTTATGCGGGAGAACAAACAAGCCAGTCCAAATGAATCAATCACAGACGAGGTGTTTTTTTTGTTTTTTTTTAATAAAGGTTTGGGATTCTGCAGATTTTAATATATGATTAGTTACGGATGTCTACTCCACTTAAGTTCACTGTAGAGAAGACCAAGAAAGATGAGGTCAATCACTGTAGATTGTGCTAGAGGTGGGTAGAGTTGCCAAAGATTGTACTCAAGTAAGAGTACGGTTACTTTAAAGCCCCAACAGGTCCGTCAACAGAAATTATGGGAGTCCAGGGCAAGAAGGCTCACTTGGGCTCCCCTCTAATATTAATTAATAGGCAGAGGTTCAAGTTTTGGGCCCTTATGACCCTGGGGCCCGGGAAAACAGACCCCTTTGTCCCCCACATAAACGCCCCTGAGCCCTAATATGTAACTTTTTAGCCAAAAATATAAACATATTCTCCATAAACCTGAATCTTTTTGGCCTCCTCCTGCTTGTTTCCATAGAAATATTGTTCCTTTGGCTGTAATATTCCACAGTATAGCATGAAATGTATCTATCTCCACAAAAAATGTTCAGGAATATGGTTTTAACTTTATTTCTAATTATGCAGGTGACATACCACCTCCAGAAAGTTGCATACTATGCCTTTAATAGGCCCATATTACACTGTCTGATCCAAGTTATAATGTTATTTCCCCACCAAAACCTGCAGTTGTATTTTGTTTCATTCACACAAGTTTAACACACAAACCCTGCATATTTAGGCTGAGTTGTTTTCTCAAACGAAAACACTCTGTTCCACCTTGTGATGTCATGTGGTGATACAGGAAGTGCTCCACTGTGTTTTTAAACTTCACTTGAATCATTTGGATAACTCCAGCCCTGGAATTTCTGAGTCTCTACTGAAGAAAAGGTAAAAGGAATCTGTTAACTTGAAAACTATAACTTCATGACATCACAAGGTGTAGCAGAGCATTCTGAGCTTTGCAGGTGTAGACAGACTATGAAACCAGGATTACTCACAAAACACAATTCCAGGTATGTTTTTAATAATGTTTTTGATGAGCTCACAAGAATAAATTTTGAATAATACAGGACCTTTACGTAAAAGTACAGAGTAGTGGTCTAAGAAATTACTATTATGTAAGAGTGAAAAAGTATTTGGGGAAATGAGTGTTCATGTAAGAGTGACAGTCACAGCCAACACACACTGGAACACTTTGACACATGGCAAAATTGCCACATCCATTATTTTCTCTGAGTGGGCACACAACAGACACACACTGGGCACACGCCGGGCACACACCCAGCACACGCCAGGCACACACTGGACACATGCCGGGCAGACACTGGGCACACGCCAGACACACACCGGCACACGCCAGAGTGAGGCGGTGCTCCACCCCGCCCCTCGCGTGGGGTTTATTGAACCTTAACTGTCTGAAGGTAACATGTGATTTGACCAAACAAATATGTTTTGTCTAAGACATCAAATAATAAACAAAATGTCCTTGTTATTTCAAAGGACAGACCACAAAATGGAGTCTGCAGGGGGCAACGCTTTGAGCATTTGTCGACCAAAATGATGTTTGTGTTGATGTTCTTTTCTCTCAACTGGATGTAACTTGTAATTTGATTTCTTTTGTTTTACTGTTGGAACACCGCAAGTGTTACGTATAGACTTTCTCACAGCAGGAAGATTGTAATTTCAACTTTTACTTAAGTCAGAGTTTTGTTAAACATATTACTCCAGTAGTAGAAGTAAAGGTATTATATCTGCAAAAAACAGAACAATTCTTTTAAAAAGTTAGTCAAGTAAATGTTATCACACATTTATAAAGTTAAGTGTAAAGACTCAGTTACAGGTTAAACACAGATGTGATGATTAAGACTTTCTTTTAATGCCCCATGGAGTGATAGGAATAGAGCTGTTCTCCCTTTGAGGAGTTCAGACAAAGTTAACGCTGAGGAAAATACATTATAAAGCTGCATATATCATTCGATTAGGTGGGGGCGCATGTTATTTGGCACAATGGAGCAGTAACTTTGCCAACACTGAATTTAAACAATGTAATCAGCAGAGACAGACATAATGTGAGTGAGGTGTGATGAATAGATTGCCAAGAGGACAAACGTTCACCGCGGTGATGTGATGAAAGGAGAGAAAGGTGAAATCTCATCACGGGGCCTAGGCACTGGTTGTGGAGAAGACATGGGGAGGCTGAGGAGGCCGATGGTTCTGCTGCTGTGGTGAAGTTTGATTGAAGGAGGGTGCGGCACGTAGTGTAGCACTCGCTTCAGAGTAAGAAGGTTCTGGGTTTGATTTTTGGTCGCTCGGGCCTTTCTCTGCAGACTTTGTCTGGATGAGTTTCTTCCAGGCACTCCAGTTTCCTCTATCAAACCAAAACATGCACCATTGATAATGTCCTCCAGCTACAGTAATCCTGACCAAGACTGACTTTCTTTCTTACTGTCACGCCAAAACTCGCTCTGGTTTCTAATGGGTGCAAAAAGCTCTTATAAACTTATTGCGAATAATCAGGATGCTGAGAATGCAGAAGGTAAATGAGGAGTAACTTTGGACCAAAATGTTTTAAATGTAGTGCTGTCATGCGATTAAAAAAATTGAGAGATTAATTAATTATGATCTGTAATTAATTAATCTAATTAATCTCATTTTAATCTCACCTAAAAATTGCTGAGAAAAGCCTTCAATTTGAGGTATTTTCATTTAAATTCATTATTACATTATTGTGGCAGATCAAAAGACTGATATAGAACAAAAAAAGTGACTTTATAAAGTCATTTATTGTTTAACAAATCTCTCCAAATTGGCTGTTGAGCCCAGGTCTCCATGAATAAGAAACTGTTTGCTGTAAAGTAGCAAAGATGAGGAAATCTGAACATAATAACTTTTGTCTACTTAAAGACAATAAAAAGTCCAGTCTTTCCTTAACCATATTAAAAATATTATTGATAGAGAAATGCTTTATATATGAGATCACTGGTTTTAGTCCTGGTTTTAGTCCTGGTTTAGACCTGCTTTAGTCCTACTTTAGTCCTACTTTAGTCCTGGTTTTAGTCCTGGTGTTAGTTCTGGTTTAGTCCTGGTTTAGTCCTGGTTTAGACCTGGTTTTAGTTCTGGTTTAGACCTAGTTTTAGTTTTGGTTTTAGTTCTGGTTTAGTCCTGGTTTAGTCCTGGTTTAGTTCTGGACTGGATTAGTCCTGGTTTTAGTCTTGGTGTTAGTTCTGGATTAGAGGCGCACAGGAGGAAGCGCGGTTTATGCAGCGTACGCGAGAAAACATGATCCACACGCGGCTCATGGGAGCACGTCGGTGTCCGCGCAGTAACTACGGAAGGAAACGTGGTCCGCGCGTTCTCAGGTTAATGACGATGATGAAGGTGTGTGTTTGTGTTTGTGTGTGTTTGTGTGCTTGTGTGTTTGTGTGTGTTTGTGTGTGTGTTCGTGTGTTGTGTTTGTGTGTGTTGTGTGTGTGTTTGTGTGTGTGTTTGTGTTTGTGTGTGTTGTGTTTGTGTGTGTTTGTTTGTGTTTGTGTTTGTGTGCGTGTCCCCTCATGTGGCAGGTCACTATAGGACAGTAGTGCAGACATCATGAGTCTATGCAGGTTGTTTTCACCAGTGACATTTAAGTTGTAGGCGATATTTATATTTGTTATTTTCTTTTATATTTCACGTCGGGAGAAGAATTTCCAAGACACGAATGTGTTTTTACCTGTGCACTGCTGCCTCTGTTCTACTGGCTCTTCGACCTCGTCCATTGTGCGACTGACGCCGCCAACGTTAACATGATGTTTACATCGCTCTTACTGCGCGCGTTTTGTGTGGGTTTCCGGCAATGAGTGGAATTACCAAAATAAAAAAATTATAAATGTTTTTTTGTGTGTGTGTTATTGTCCCAACAACACATAAAAACAGGTTTTATAATAAAGCAACTCGCATACAGAAACAGTAAAGTTAGAGATTAAAAATGAGAGTAACGCGATTAAAAAACATAACGCGCTAAATATGACTGTAATTAATTAATCGCAATTAACGCGATAATTTGACACCCCTAATTAAATGAACTATTATTTTCTGGGAGATGATTGGTTGATACACAAAAGTAATAATAATAATAATAATAATAATACATAACCCTTATATAGCGCTTTTCAGGATACTCAAAGACACTTTACATGAGGAGACAAACAAAGGCTGTGATTGGTTAACTTAAGGACACAAAAAATTGACTCTTGTGAGCCTTAAGCCTTGTTATAATGTTGTTACCTCCTCAAAAACAAACCCAGACTTGTGTTTTGTTTCATTCACAAATGTTTGAGTAATCCTGTATTATTATATTATATGCTCTGTTCCACCTTGTGATGTCATGCAGCAGTCGTTTTCAGGCTATTCCAGGACTGAAATAACCAAACGATTGTAGTGAAGGTGCATGGAATTTAAAAACACAGTGGACCTCTTCCTGTTCCCACACTAGTTGCACCAGAGTGTTTTCTGTTTGAAAGAAGAACTCAGCCTAAATATGCAGAGTTTGTGTGTTAAACTTGTGTGACTGAAACAAAACACAACTCTGGGTTTGTTTTTGAGAAGGTGACAACATTATAACAAGGCTAAAAGCTCACAAGAGTCAATTTTGTATGTCCTCAACAAACAAAACACAACTCCAGGTCTGTTTTTGATAAGGAAACAACATTATAACATAGATTAGAAAATAATGTAATATGTCTTTAAGTAATCTTTAAGCCTGAATCTTAATAAACTATGAATTATATCTTTGTTCAAGCTTTATCAGTGCTGTAAATACTGTATTTATTATGAAGTCTCCATTTTAGTGATTTAAAAGTAAAGATAATTGACTTGAACGTTGTTGTTTGTGTTTTTTTTACAGAAAGATGAGATGGATGACATTCCCATTGAGTTGAGCAAGGTCCAGAGTGTTAAGGTAATAGTAAACTGTTCCGTATACACACTTAAATTGTTGTTTTACAAATGGAGAACATGCAACCAGACCCGTCAGCAGACATTTGGGGGGTTGGGTCAAGAAAACTCACGTGGGCACCCCTCTAATATAAATGAATATGCAGAGGTTCCAAATTCGGACCCCTAAGACGTGGGACAACAGACCCCTTTGTGCCAGTCCCTGTCGACTCCTCTGCATTCAACATATGTCTTAACAATGTAGAGTCTTTACAGTGAAGTAGATTGCAAGACAGTACAGTTTATTCAAGGTTGACTTCTTTTTTCATTTGTAATGCAATAAACCTATTTCTGTTCTATTAAGTCTCGATGCCAGGGACATTGTGCTCATACCTTTTGGGCCAAGCCACACATTTACAAAACAGCTTCTCTGTTGACCAAACCTCCTGAGCCATTTGAAAAGCACTGAGTCCGATTTCATATCTGGAGTTTTGACAGTTATGCCTGGATCTCTGTCAAACAAATCAGAGCTGCCTTTACACACTATGGGATTTAAGAGTGAGTCAGAGCTGTATGCATTAAAGTGAAGACATATTATACTATACACTTAAATTAAAAGGTTTTTAATGCGCTGTCCCTTTATTCAAATATATTTTAAATTGACTTTTCATCTTAAAACTCAACATGTCTCCTATTAAGGGAATGAAAGCTTTGAGTCAAACAAGATTAACTGGAGCAGCGCACAAAGATTAATGAAATCACAGAGATTAATATTGTTTTCAAACTCTGCTAAGGTATGATGTCTTCTTGGAACGAGACACAAAACAGTTTTCATGTATTGTAAAATGACAGAATGTCTCCACAGTCTGGGCTCTGATCTCGTCTGTTTCTCAGGTGGTGGCGAGGAAGCGTCGCGACAGAGGGCTCCCGCGGGCGTTCGAGATCTTCACAGACAGCAAGACGTACGTGCTCAAAGCTCAAGACGAGAAGCACGCCGACGAGTGGCTGCAGTGCATCAATGTGGCCGTGGCCCAGGCCCGAGAGCGCGAGAACCGCGAGGCCACCACGTACCTCTGAGCTCACGGGACCTGCGAAACCTGACGGAGCACTATGAGCACTATCGCCTTGGCAGCAAGACAAGTGAGCCAGCAATAACAGAGCAGGATCCACGCACAGGGTCACGAGTAGGGCTGCACTGCTTTCTCTAACTTCTCTGGTCTAATCATCCTCGTGGGGATACATAATTTGCCTGGAATGTTCCACAGTAGGGCATTGAACTTATCGGTCTTGCATTTATTCAAGTACAGGTGTTTTATTGCTTAAAAATACATTGAAAACCTATAGTCTCACAGGGAGTGGGCTGCCTCTACACAGGTCTGACCTGTTACTTGACCTGGTGGAGTCACACGCTTGTCTCCATGGAGACTGATAAATTTAACACCATAATCTGGAACATTCTAAGCAACGCAATAACATCTTAATAACTATTCACAGCGCCACTTGAATAAACAGATGCAGTTTTGATTTAGTTTCTTACTGTGGATGTTGAATTAGTGGAACAATCATTTAGTGATATTTTATGCAGCGCTGGTCACGACAACTGTCAACAAGTTGCACAATAAGAAAATGACGAAAGACACATTTGCGAGGTGCACAATGGAAGCTTTTACACAACGACCAAACAGCCTCCCCACCACCACCACCAGCTCCACCAGCTCCACCGGCTCCAGCACCACCACCAGCTCCGTGGCGGTGGAAAGACGGTGCTGTGCTTTAATGACGCGTGATGATGAAGCAATAGAGACAGTGGAGCCGACCTCGCAGCAATAACAAGAGCCCTGTTTCCTCGGCGCAGGAAGGATGGACGTGTAATGGGCTGCAGATGTCCCGCGCAACCACCCCATACCAGCGCTGGCACTACCGCGCGCTCCAGTGTAAACAACATGAAAACAAATGAGCAAATCTCCGCCGACAAAATGTTGGACTTCCATGACTCATAAATTGAAGCCCACCGGAGTGCACTGTCCCGGCCCTCCTCTCACATTTCCCTTCTTTTGCAATCTTAACTACTCCACGCTGGCTATTTTTGGGGGATCAACATCTGAAGCAATCCGTTGTGTGTTTTACAACAAGCTTAGTCATAGCTGCTCGCTTGGATGTCGAATTTCTGAAGAAACACAGAGGTTAAATTAGTGGTTTCCTTGTGGGTTTTCGATCAGTGCCAGTTTCAACATATTGAATCAAGACAATTGAGTGAAAGATGGTGTTTGGATAGCCAAGGACCAGAGGTGATGTGTAGAGCTGGAGCCAGGCGCAGAGCAGCCCCTACAGACATGACTAAAGTAACAACGCGGGGTATTCTCTCTTGTTTAAATTGGATTTGATTAAGTGAAAAATTCTGTTACAAATGAACCAGACAGTGTTTAGATGGACATAACTTGACCAACTGTAGCCCACAGCAACTCACATAAGCAGCACTCAGCGTCACTTTAGACCCCGGAAGGTCTTTTTAAAAAGGCCTAAATCACTGGTGGATGAAGTATAATTTTGCCACTTAAGTAAAAGTATCACATGAGAAAATCTACTTAAGTAAATGTATTAAAGTACCTGTTTAAAAATGTACTTTGAGAGTAAAAAGTAAAGTATTTTGCAGAGCATTGTAGAAGAATTTAAGGATGAAATGTAGTGATTTTGATAATGAGTGTATCAGATTAAGTGATTCAGTTGATTTCATAATTTCTCTGTCTGTTTTGTGTTTTTGTGTATTTGGTTTGCTCAAAGTCGGAACATAAACTCAAATTAAATGTGTTAAAAATAAGTTTCATCATTTTCAGCAGGCCTCAAACCATAAAGAGTCAGTCCAGATCTAAATTATTTGTAATGAAGTACAGATATTTGCTCTCAAATGTAGTCAAGTAAAAGTAAAAAGTATCCACCGTAAATTGTACTTAAGTAACGTACAGATGGGTCCGGTGAAGCGGTAATGGAGGGAAACAGAGGCAGATTTTTTACATTCAAATAGCTCTTATTCAGAAACTAGAGGGACTATTGAAAGAAGTAAGATATCAGAATGTAGGAAAGAGTTAACACTCCAACAGGGTAAAGTTAAACCTGTGATATTCTTTCAAGTTGTTGACAAAAAAATTTTAAAAACTCATGTCGGTAACGGAGGGAATGAAATATGCAGCACTTTTTGGGCAATAAATGCAAACAGTCATAACTACCAGTTCTCACTTACATATCCTTAACAAACTGGTTTGAATATTTGCTTCATATAGTTTTCTACCATATGGTACAAGATTAGGTTGAAAAACCTCTTACTTTTTGAGTAATGACATTTTTAATAAAGAAAGGTCATGGTAACGGAGGGAAAAGTAACGGAGGGAAAAAAGTAGAAGGTGCATGATTTTGCAAAATTTGTCAACTTTTTTCTTCCGAATACTTTAACATTATTTCACAATGAAAGGAAACTATTTCTATAAAATATGTCAGCCCTTCCAAGCTAATTTTTATCATTTTAAATAACACAAGATATGATGAAATACATCCATTTATTTACATGATTTGCAGGTCTTTGAAATTTGGGAAATAATTTTTGTTCCATGTTGCATACATGATCTGTTTAAAAAGAACCAAAAATGGTACAGAAAAAAAGGTAAACAGTTTCATAAACTAAAGTACATATGTATCTGTTGAATACATTTTATATCAGATGCATTAACTTGAATTTTTGGCCTTGCTGTTTACTTCTGCTTGACCGGGCCCAGATACCAAAAAATTTTACTTTTGCTTCTGTACTTCATTATCTTCCACCACTGGCTTAAAAATGTTTTTTAAAAAAAAAAAAAGTCTTGGTTTGTTTGTAAGAGTACTAAATTTTCCCAAAAAGATTACAAAATCAATTTCTGTGAAAATTAAAGCTGTATTATGTAACTTTTTTCGTGAATGCCCCCCGCCTAACTCCAGATTGATATGTTTAGCGCTCTGAACCGGGCTCTACACATCAATCTGGGATGGCTCTCACTGAAAATGGTGGGAACATTCAAACAAATACAAAAGACAAATACAGATTGGTTCGAAGTGTCACAACAGCGGCGCGAGCTGAGAAATCAAACTTTAATTACAACCATTTGACAGAAAAACTATCTTCCATGTCCACAAATGCTCAGAGCGGTTCCCTCTGCACTTTTTCCAAAAACAAAATGTCTGTCTTTGTACTAAAATGTGTTTCTGACAATAATTCATCGTGATTCATGTTACACCATCTGCTCTGTGGAGATTGCACCGCTTTCTTCCACCGCAAGGCATTTAACTTATCTGTCTCTATTATAGCTGTGCAAAAATACTGAAATATCGATATATCGTATTATTTAATTTGATACAGTATCAATATCATGGGCTGCTGTATCGATATATAACCAAGAGTATCTTTTTGGTATATTTTACTACATTATTTTGTGAAAGACCTACAGTTGTGTTGCTTGTTTGGAGAAAGAAAACTTGTTTATGCAATATATCTTCACTGACCGCGTCTCATTTCTCTTTCCTCACTTCCTTCTCCTTGATTCCTCTCCTCGATTCTCCATTTTTCAGCTGTCAATCAAATGTGTCGTATTAAGTGGTGTCCCAAAGAAAACCGCAGAATGAAGGAGTAAACACAAGGGAGGCTTCAGGAGGCAGACATCAGATAAAAGAATCAAATTTTATTGGTTTCAGTGAGGAGTTTATATCCTCTCACCTCATTTTGTCTCCTCTGTGGACGGGACTTCCTCACCCATTTCCTGAGGAATCGAGGAGAAGGAAGCGAGGAAAGAGAAATGATCCACAGTTGGAGTTTTGATGAGTAAAATAGGTGATTTTCATATTTGTGCAAACTTAGTGGTTTAATGAAGACTTTTAGTATCACAGCCACGATTTAGCTTTTACTTTTTACTGAACAGTATCGAATCAGTTTGAAATATATCGTATCAAATCGTATTGAATGAAAAGTGCACTGTATCGAAAAAAATATCGTTTAGTTGCCCATGTATCAAGGTATACAACTTTTTAATGATACCCAGCTCTAGTCTCTCTAGTTTGTGTATTTTTAGGTTATTTTTGACCAATAAACCTGTATTTAGATAAATTTAATGCCTTACTGTGGAACATTCCAGGCCATACAATAAAGTAAATAAATTAATAAAGTAATCTCCATACTTGCGGACGCCATCATGTTACAATTCAGTGCACCTTTAGGTTTCTAAGCAAGGTGCAAATCAAACTCTTATGCTGCCATAGTTTCCTTTTTCTTTCTTTTTTTTTAGAAGGTAAGAGTGAAGAATGACAAAACTCTGAATTTTATTTTAAAGCTGCATTGTGAAACTTTTCCGGTGAAGGGTCCATGAAATATTTTCTCAATGGAGATGTTATTGCTTGCCTGAAATGTTTCACAGTATGGCATTGAACCTTTCTATCATCATGGAAACTAAAACAGGCTAAGTTACTGGTCAGATCTGTGGAAAGGCAACCCCAAATCCCTCTTTTGTAGGTATTTTTGAGCAATAAAACCACCTGTGATTGAATAAATGTAAAGTAGAGCTGTTTATTGTCATACTGCGGAACATTCGAAGCAGAGCAATGACATTATCCATAGAAACAAGAAGATTCATGCAAAAAGTTACATAGTACTCCTTTAACTAAGTGTTTCATTTTGTGGAAATCTCTATGAACTTTCACTACTAACTTGAGTTCTTACCGCTGCCCGTTGTGTTCCTTTTAAGCCCTGCGTTTGACAAGTGGTGGTCTGAATATTAACTCGAACCCATGACTTTAGTGGCTGTAGTTAGTCACTTTGTAGACTAAACAGGCTCTTTCCCACTGGTTTAAGTTTCCATGTTTGGATTTAGTGACATTGGCCGAGATTACCCCCTGCACGGTCTAACCCACATCTGCCACTTCACATCACAGTATTTACTTGTGACCAATTAGAGCTGCTATACATCAATGACCTACATTGTGTGACCTACACACCTGTAAAGAGCTTAAATACCCCCCAAAACACTGTTCAACCCCAGTCAGTTTATTGTCAGAATATGTAGCGTTGATTTGGTGTAGAATTCCCGTTTAACATTCATACCTTGAAGCAGACGTCGCTAAAAACGTAATCACACCAAAGAGCCGTGAAGTTGTCAGCTCCTCCTTATGGATAGCTGCAGATCACACTGACCAGGAGCAGTTTTTTTTCATTTATACCAAAATGGCTACATGACGCTGCCAAATCCTAACCAGGCTGGCGCCACCTAGTGCATCCGCTCAATTTAATTTCTCTCCAGTGACTAGGTCAGGAATCGGAATACACTACACAATTTATAAGAACCCCGGAAGTGCGAGTTCAGGCACCAGCCAATCAACGAAGACCCATATATTCTGTGTTGGCAACAATTCCCGAGATCAAGGATTTAAAGCCGGAACAAAGAGAATGTTTGGTGAATTTTATGAAGGAGAAAGACGTTATTGTCCTTCTTCCTACGGGATTTGGGAAAAGCTTAATATTCCAGTCAGCCCCGTTAGTGGCACATTACCTACGTCACGACCAAATAGCAGCGAAAAAAAGTACCCGCCCACTGTCGAGCAAACGAATCCTAATGCTGCGAGGTCAGACAGTTTCCACGAAGTGAAACCAGCTCATGAATCTAACCAAATCCTACACACATTAAGAAAATATAATTACAGAATGAAGTCAGTACAGAGCAGTGGGCGTGTACAGATGCCACTGATTTATTTGAGCCTGGCAGCTATTGTTTTTTTTGCATTTTTTCACTGTGCTGACACTGTGATCACTTGTTACCGTGCTGAATAGAAAGCACAAGTCTAAATTACTGGTGTAAGTAGAAAGTGAAATGTTGCACTTTCAATAATGGTGAGGAATCCTAGACTACTGATTTAAAGTGATTTTTTTAAATGTATTACAAGCACACAGGACAGTAGGCCAATAGTGTATTTATTTTAACTGCTAAAACAATAACCAAGCAAATATCTGTTTTCAATGTCATGGCTCATGTCATTTCCAATGTATTAATACTAATTAAATATGCTGTATTTTACTTTAAGTGTTTTCCCCCTTTATTTTGTGTTTATTTAGATGCAGATTCTTCAGATAAAGGAATTAATTAAAACTGCAGACAGGGAAAGAGAAAGATGGCATTCAAAATATATGCACGTGTTTATTATAGCCCATTGGATTTGCATAAAAAAGGTAAATGGACTTCTGAGCTAAGAAATTTGTGCCCCATTACCAAATATTCAAGATTTGCAGATCATCTCCAGTGACGTCCCACAGGTCTACGGGGGTCTAGGGTTACCCCCACCCATGGCTCTAACATTGAACAGTCTGACAGCGAACATGAAACACACGCAAAGAGAAGGCTTCATTTAAAAGTATTCCATATGTGTACAGAAGATTACATCTCTTTCCCACAGTCGGTGCACGGCTGATCTGATGGAGCCACAAACCCTTTCACACATCAGCGCTGTTATCAGACTTTACTACAGACTGTACGTATATGAAAGACATGCCTGGCTTTTAACGGCATGCATGCTTCTGCTCAAGATATATATATTTTTTTTATCTCGTAAGGAAATTAGTTTTAACATAAGCACTAAAAAGAAATGACAGGTCAGTGTAAGTTCTGCTGCTCACATATTCAACAGCCCCATCTGGTGGACAGTGACTTGTTAATCCACCATCTGCTATAAGATCACGTGAGGGTCATAAGTAAAATCTCGTGTACGATGCGTCTAGGGCATTCCCAAAGTCTGCTGTCCCACGGCCCCTCTAACATTTTACACTACATGTAAAAAATATGTTGTATTTCCTCCTGAAACGCATGTATACATGACAACACACCCCAAAAGTAATCCGATGAACGCAAATATCTTCTGGCAATTTAAAACCATTTTCCTTCTCACTCATTTTGTGTACAACCTTTCAGAAGCCCCCCTTCAAAGTTTTTGAGGCCCCCCAGGTTCCCTTGACACCTTCATGTTTATAAGTATTCATTTTAATGTAAAAAAGACAAGTCCAAAAATACGCGTTGCTCAATGACAGAACTCATTTATTACTCAATAAAAATGCGACACGTACACATGCAGACTAAAACCAGTGTTACAAACTGACATCTGCTCTAAAATATTTTAGTCCGCTTCCCCCTCTGTAAAAAAATGGACCAGTTTGCCTTTGAAAACTGCTGTACAGACAGTGTCCTAACACAAATATGATTACCACCCTCTGCAGCCTCCTCCATGTGCAAACAGTGATCATTCCTGAAAGACAATCTTTATTTTACATTTTTAATTTAACTTGACACAAGACAATTTGCTTTTAAAAATTAAAGCATTCACATTGTGCCAGTAGCCATCACCTCTTACATCTTTACACTGTAAATAAGTTTCTATAGCCCCTCAGAATCTGTAAACTTACATGTTAAACCAGAAATACAAGGGTGAGAAATCAGATGAGAAAATGTAGGAAAAAAGTTCGTCTCTCTCTGGGACTGATGTGACGTCTGATTGTTCCTGCCATAACTTCAATACTCACCATGAAGTCCTTACAGGTCCTATTTTCAGTTCTTTGCAAAACTAAAGATGAACTCTGATTGCAATATTTGGTTTTAATTGTGCATGCACCAATCAACTTAATTTCAATCCATTTAAATTTACTTAAAATTCACAAATGTAAAATGACTTTACTTTGTCCTCATACATTTGTTCTGTAGGTTGGAGAGTTCAGAGACACCACAGCAGCCCCAGAGCTCGTGTATGCGCGTGTTGTACGTGTGTGAATATGTGTGTATGCATGTGAATATATGTGTATGCGCGTCAGCGGCGGTGGCGGCCATGTCCTGAGTGGCTGCTGCTGCTGCTGCTGTGGTGTTTGCTCTTATGGCTCCGGTCTCGCTCTCTGTCATAGGAGCGAGACCTCTCCCTCTCTCTGCGCTCTCTGTGGCTGCCGCTTCGCTCGTGCTTGTGTTTCTTGGAAAGGTCAAAGCGCTCTCGGTCTCTGTCCCTGTCTCGCTCTCTCTCCCGCTCTCTGTCCATTTTGATGGGAGTGCGCGAGCGCGAACGCTTCCTCTTGTGACCGGAGCCACTGTTGCTGTGTCTCCCGCTGCTCTTAGAGTCACTGTTGTGGTGAGTGGACTTGGACTTGAGGTGGGGCAGTAGAGGGGAAGGGGGGTGTCGTCGTGGTGATGGACTTCGGCTGTGAGAACGGGAGCGAGACCGTGAGCTGTAGGTCCCCGAGCGGCTGCGTCTGTAACTGAACAAGAAAGAAACCGGTCACTGTCATTGTGGGCAAGAAATCAATTGTTTAAGAACTGAAAACAAGATTCTTAGGATTTTGCTCAACAACCTATTCAACATGATCGACTTACTGTCGCCGTGGAGACCGGGATCTTGACCTGGATCGTGTTCTTGATCGGGATCTGCTTCCACTCCTACTGTTCCTTCCAATCTTTGCTTCTCTTCTCAGCCTGAAGATATGAAATATAAACATTCAAACACCTGCTTGAAATGACCGTAGTTGTCAAACATGATGTGCTTACCCATTATGTGGACTCTTGGAGACCTGGTTCCGAGTGTCTGGCTCCTTCTTGACAGTTTTGAGGTTCTGTGAGTTGGGGGACTTGTCGTCCACTTTGACAGTGACATTAGGAGACGAGGGCTTGGAGGCCGGCGAGAATCCTCCGGCTGATGTCAGTGCAGGGGTCCCATCAGGGTTCAGGCCTTTGGCCTTGAGCTTGGCCTCGGCTAAGAACACCTTTCTCTTCTCCACCTCCTTCTCCAGCTGCTCCAGATTGGGCTGAATAGAAATGAGAGTTTAGTACAGTGATACAGTTTTAGGGGAAGGGAGTGTCTGAACATCTCTGATGTGGTATTACCTTTTTCCTGGTGTACAGTTTTAACGTAGTGATACAGATCTCTTTGATTTCCTCTTCAGTGGCTCCAAACAGCAGGTACCAATGAGGTCTGGAGGGCAGTGGGATCTGCAGCCATTACACAGCGGTTTAGTGTCAAAGTAAATAGAGTAAAAAGAGCAGTGAGTTTAGAGCTTCTGTTGACGTACCTGCAGAGCGCGGGCCGCGAGGAAGATACAGGCACAGGCAATGGTCTCAGCTTGGAACCGCACAAACACATTGGTCCTCAGGCTGTCATTCATGTAGTTCCTGGAATAACAAAAGCACATAGAAAAAAACATAGCATCTTCTCAAAGATGACAGAAGACTGTGGTTCTTGTCTGCAGTTAGAGGAAGTTGTCATAAGATTTAAACTAGATTAAAAATACTGTATTTCTGATACTCAAGTATCAACTGATGAAACACCCAAGTATGTTCCTCTTAATTTTGAACTAACCTCTAACAGCAGCCCTTCTTTCATAATTAAACATGTTAAATGTTTAATTCATTTTCAAATTAAACAGACAGCTTTATAAATGGGAAACAAGGATTTAGGATTAACTTTGTCCATTTCTCCCTGAGGTTTCCATGGCTGGTCACATAAAGGCACGAGGACAGACGGTGCCAACAGCGGAGAAGAGAAAGACCATCTTGGTTCATGCATTAGAGTTGGAGCATGCATCCACATGGACAACACTGAACTAAAACAGCCTTCTTGGCACTGGAGGGACAACTTGTGTGGTGACATGCAAAATGGAGAATCTCCTGTACAGATGCTATTTACTGTTTTCAATTGAACTAAATTATTTATTCCGGTGTCATTCTCAGTGTAATCTATAAATAAAAAGTAACTGAATAAAGCCAAACTAATCACTTTATAAAAAGGGCCTTGAATCTATTTACAATTCAAATGGCTCACATCTCATCAAAAAGTTGCAGTGTCAACCATTTTTGTCACAAAATGAAAGAAAAAAAGATGGAATAGATGGTAGATAATCATACAAGATTCAATGTATGGAAAAATGTGGAAATAAAAATGAGTGTACAAATGTAAACTTGTCACACAGAAGGGAGAAAGCATTTCTTCATGCTATGCTGTTCAGTTCAGCTACTTTACCCTCCTGCTTTATGACATGTGATCAATGGGCCAGGGAATCATCTAACTGCCCTCTGGGTGGGTACATGCACGGGGCACTAAGTGTTGGAGCTAAGCTCGCTCTAGAATAAACACGCCCGGTGAATTCTGACTGCTGTGAGTCACGGCTCCTTCGAGGCAAAATGTGAACTGGATCAGCCTGCAAAACAGACATGTCTGGAGACCACGTCAGAGGGGCACAACACAGTATGCCAATGGTAAAGATGCTTCAATGTGCTCTACTCTCACTAGGGACTAATCTTACCTGCACACATTATAGTCTAGCTGTGGCTAACAACTCATTCAAATATTTAGTAGCAAGACCAAAATACAAATCCTTTCAAGACACCCATAAGAAAACAAGATGACGCTGGCAGTTGGGAAAGGCCCGCCCCCTTCAGAGAATCTCAGCATTGGGATTGGCTGTCAGCAGAGCCAGCCAATGGGGGGAGCTTCTGAGGTCATGTGGTTGGAGGAGGCAGAGTTCAGAGGTTCTTTATGTGACTTACCAGCATGGACTACCCTTTAATCAAAGAGTAGAGAAAAAGGACAAAGTTAAACCAAGTTCTACTAATACTGGACACATCACAAGACTCAAGTTAAGCCATGTAAAGGCAGACAGAGCTGAGACTCATTTGTCCATGAGAAGAGAGGAGTGCCAGACTTGGGCCAAAAATGGTTCAGCTGCAGATGTGTGACTGTGCGCTCAAAGCTACACAAACTCGAGTGTTATCTGGCAGGCGCAGTTTTATCACTGACCCTGGCAGAACATCCAAGTGCCCACCAGACACACATCTGAACCTGTCCAAGTCCATCTTTAGCCCAGGTCTTCATGGCTTATTTGCACACGTGACGGGCTGTTGCTGTGAGAATGAGCAAAAGGGTAGAAAGAGACACCTACCAGGCGGTCTGCACCAGCGTTTGGTTCTTTTCACATTCCAGAACTTGAATGTACATGACGATAATCTGACAAAAAAAAAAAAGACATGGAACACATCGTTGTGAACGTGCATGCATTCCATTTAACAAACAGCTTGTAAATGAAGTAGAGACTTACCTTGTGCGGGTGCTTAACGTGTACACAGAATCCCAGCTCCTTCAGGACACGTCTTTCTGCTTTGATCACTAGGTTTTTGGTATTTATGTAGTTCTGATCAAGTATCAGTGGTGTGGGAGTCCTGGTTTGTGGAGGAACCAAAATAAATATTGTTTCCCTCTTTCACATAAATGAAATAAAAGGCAGAAAAAGAAAGTGCTCTTTTGTAAGTATGCACTCCTTTTTCCTTTTCAACCAACTCAAGGAAATATGCTAGCAAGTCTGACAGTGGGGTTGTGGACTCCTGTGGTTCAGAAAGCAATGTGTAGAAATGAACAGCCTCAGTGCTCCATCACCATGTGCCACAGCTTTAACAGAAATGGCCTTGAACACTCTCCATCCCACAACGAGGTCAACCCTGTTCTGATCCAGCTAAGTGGATACGCAAACTGGTCAAAGTTTCTATTCTTATCTAAAGTGAATCTTGTTTGTGCAACAAACGTGTCACTTGATGGTTCACATAGACATACAAAACTTAACCTCCTCAAATCAGGTGCTCTGAGACACTTAGACAAACTTTATTGATCCACAAGGGAAATTATATGGATAAGGGAAACTATATGACCCTTGGCCCCAAAACACAGAAGACATCATGATGCTATTAACTAAAGTGAAATCCTGTCCTCGATTTGATCTCCTCTCCTACAGACTAGACATTAGCACATGCATAAAACATTATGTAAATAAACTATTTTAGACAAGCTCTTATTCTAAACTTTCAATAATAGAAACTGCAGCATGCAGGATCAAAAACTAGTCCAACACTAGGTTTCTATTAAACATTTCTGTAAAAGCCATGGACGACAGTTTGTGAATTGGACTTGGTTTCAAATGCAAAGACAAACTGCATGGTGAGGGGCAGCCAGAGGAAGGAAAATACTACTTTACCCAAAGGTCTGTGGGTGGTCGGACAGAAACACCAAGCTTTAGAACGAACCACAGGAGTCCTCAAAGCTCCCCGGGGACCGAGACCTTCGGCCAACCTGTCATCCCCGATCCCAGGAGCCCGCGGTGCCTCGGACCACGGGCGTCTCCCACAGGAGAGGGGTGGGCCGGGCCTGGGGGAGGAGACAGCCTTGCCTCATGGTTGTCATGCCGACTGCTTCAGCTTACGTACCATTCCACATCACCCAGGCTTTGGTAAATGTAGCTGGTCGCTGTTAGTTGGTTGCAAAGGAAAAAAGAATCCAAGTTAATGCCAGGGTCTGGATAGGACACGAACATTTTAAATCAAGACAGAGGCACAAACAGCTGCTGAACTTGTGCCCGTCTTGTAATGTTACAGGTATTCAAGTTTTTGAACAAGATGTGTTAAACACCACATCGGTTGACAACCAATAGTCAAAAATACACACTTCAGAGACTATCATGTGGAAACTGAAAAGTGTTAAAGAGTACATGGATCAACAGAAGAGCACTTTCACATTCAAAAAACAATGCAAATTCAGACTGCATAAACAAAATACAACTGCCATAGTGATAAATGCATCAAACAGGGTTTACATGTACTTACTTTTTGGCTCTTATCTGTCTCAAATGATGAAACACATTAATGACATCTCGTATTCGTCGGGGAGCTTCTTCAATCTTGGACGCCAGGTTTACACACGCCATTGCCACAATCTGTAGAGCAAAGTTACAGGGAATAGTTACACTGAGAGAAGGCAGGCGACGGCTGTGCGTTTTATACATTCACATGTCTGGCTTCATCTATTAAGTTGGTGATTTACATAGATATCAATGAGGAAACTAGCCCTGAATGTATTAGAATGTTCAAAGTGTGTTGGTCCCTGTGCGTCACAGGAGCAAAACACCCGCACCTTTGCGTGAGAACAACATGGCTTCCGCTCGAACGAAACCACGACGTTCGGCTAAAGCTAAGCTAACATCCACGATGCTAACAATGAGTCTGGGCAGCAGAAAAACTCACCTCGAAACTGTGTTTCACGAACGATTTGGAGTAGAAGAACCGGTGGAAGAGTACTTGGCCAGTTGCCATGGCGACCTATAAAACAAAATGAACAAACCGCGTTAAACTTTGGTCTTTAAAGTGAAAACGGGAACCGTGTACAATGAATCCGCCATTTTCTTTACCACGCCAACATCTAAAGCTAACAGGCTAATGCTAACACAGGCCTCATCAGGTGAAGGATTAAACACAGGGCGCTGGCGTTACGTTTGCTTTTCACTGAAGATATTAGATGAATGTGAATAAAGTTAAATGGTATTTACCTGCGGTAGCCTGAGCAGAATCCCCGCGGACTGGATGAGCTCGCATCCCAGTATCCGAAGGTCGGTCTCCGTGCTCAGGTCGAGGCCATCGAGCATAGACGGCGTCGGGGAGAGCCTTTCCTCGGGGATGAGAGAGTTGTCAATCGTGAGGTACACCTCCGAGTACACTTTGTCCCCGATGAGAATCCCATCATTATTTGTTGACGCGTTGGAGGATACAGAGAGGGGACCTGCGGCCATCTTCACCCGGACACAGCGGATTCAGCGGAGTCCTGAGCTCTGCGCTTCAGGAGGAGGACGCTCATGACGTGCTGACGTCATCATACACTCACGACCCCTGTACCTCCGCGCGAGCATATAGTCCTTACATTTCAAGAGAAATTTAAACTTTATCCTCACAGGACAGAAACAGAGCTCACCAAACAAATGGGTCAGGTCGGTTTTAGACGGGATTAATACTAGTTGAGTCACCACCTGCATTTTAACAGATTCAAAACGCCAGAAAAAAATATGCAAAACCTACGAATATAATATCAGTGGGAAATGGGAAGAGTGTATAAACGGGGAAGTGGGACAACACTCCCAGAGTCACCATCCTCTCGTTGACCTGTAGACACTGAGCGCACCGTCTGTGTCCCAACGGGGAAAGAAGCGCCGGGAACAGCGGTGACGTCTTTTACGGGAAATCCCAGACTGATCACGACTGTTCCGTGGGAGCATATTCATACGCCAATTTAAACACGAGAGCACGAGGCGCATCAGTGAAGCACAGAACGAGGCCCCGCACAGTCTATGGGTGCCGCACAGGGCCAAGTACAAGCACAACCTGTGTGCTGTGATTATGTAAACGAGGGCGGCGTGCATTTAATAGAGTTTATCTAACAGTCTAACTGTGGCGAAAAAGATGATTAACCCGAAAACAAAATGTCAAATGACAGTTCGTGGGTTCAGCTTCATGTTTATGGGCGACATTTTGGACTTTTCACCATTCAAAAGATGTACGGGTTTGTTTCACAGTTTAATTGCTGTGGCAACAGTTAAGATTTTCATCATTTTGAAATCTATAGACAGACCTGTGTCTCACCGGAGTAGGTCAACTGAGCATAAAATACTTAAGACAAACAACAAGGTAGCAAACATTGCGTAACACCTCAAAATTATTTCAACTTCAGGCAGTTACTACAAAGAGACAGAAGATGTCACTCAAGCTCTACATTCTGATAGGCCCAGGCTTAGCCTTAGCCTACAGGCTACAGTTCATGATTGCAGAACTTGCCATTGCCACTTGGAGACAGTAGAAGCAGTAAAAAAATACTAGGCTCCCATTAAATGAATAATCAATCTCAAGAGTTTGTGTTATTTTCAGAGCCCCACTGCCTGACCTCTGAAGGAGCAACACGACAGGCTATCTGCAGTCCACTACTGTGGGTTATACCACAGGTTACACTGTGCAACAAGACAACACAAAGCAACAAGATGGAGACAAGCAGGTGACATCTGCCCTTTTTGCAGCCAGTGATGAGTCACATCTGTGAAAAGGCAAGCACAGGCTTGGGATCACAGTGTTTCTTGAGGTAGCCTATTGTAGTGCAATAAAAACACCCATAATGAAACCAGTGCTTTTATTTTAGTTTTTAAATGTTACATGATGGTCCTTTAAATAGCTCAATAACCCCATATGTTTGATTTAAAGAGAGAGCTTTTTTTGTTTGTGTTTTCTGCAGTGTGTTTTTGTCAGTTAACCAAATGTCACAAATATGTCACATAGTGTACTTTTATCACTTTAGTGAGCTGATTACATCAAGAAACAAAAGACTGGCATTGATCTATAAAAATGCACAATGGTGTCGCCATGGCAGCTGCTGTGGGCCACACACATTTAACATTTCTGCCATTTGCTTTAAGCAGGAGCCACATTAAATATCACTGACTAACATGTGGTCAAACAGGCCAGGATGTGGCCCAGGCAGTGGTTGGAGTTCAAGTTAAAGGCACAATTGATCAGGAGAAACACAGTTAGCACGACGGCACATACTGAGCATTCCTTCTCCTGTTGCCGGGGCGACTCTAATTATGGGGTGTGGGAGGGCTCGTGGGACAGCGGAATTCCGGAACGACCATAAACCACGGAGAGGAGCGGCGTACCGGGGGATTAGTCCTACACACACACCACTCCCAGAGACAAGTGTGTTTACGAGCAACGCACTGCCATTCCGCCATGACACGTGTGCATGCCGTCCTGCTCCGAGCATCACTATGTCAAAGGCTTCAGTGTACACATCAGCTTTTATTAAGGGCGGCTAAAACAGAGCTATCAAAAGTAGATTTTTATGACACACAGAGTAAACTAAGAGGATGTGCATTGATTTGGCAAGTTGTTATGTGAGATGTTCTTCATTTCAGCTAACCATCCCTTATGCGCTGTGACTGGAGGAGTGGGCAACACAGGTTAGGTGTCCAGCCCAATGACACAACATGCGTTTGGGCTATATTTGAAGTTGTTGCTAGGTGAACCCTCATCTTCATATGTTACTGTCACCCAACGACTTGCTACAAATTGCATCTAAAAAATTTTATGCAGCAATAAATGTAATTGCAGGAAATTATGTGGGACAAAAAGTATAGTATATATATATATATATATATATATATATATATATATATATATATATATATGTGTGTGTGTGTGTGTGTATATGGATTTGTATTGAAGACAGCTCATGGCACAGACAACCTGCCTAAAACAAGAGAAGATCTTTGATGGAAAAACAATATAATTTCTCTTGTCTTTATTTATTTCGCTCTAAGATTTGAAGAAAACAATGCCAGCTACACAAGGCACGAACACCTAGTGAAATACAAAGGAAAAGAATCTAAAATAAACTAAATTAGACAACCCAGCATTAGGTCACAATTTAGTGCTTTTTGATGTGGGAAGATATGTTCAGTAGTGGGACTTCCATTGTGTCCAGTGTCCAATGTGTTCAGAAAGTTGTGAAGTGCTTACCGTATTTTTTGGACAAAAGTCACACTTTTTTCATGGGTTGGGTGTTTCCTGCAACTTATACTCCGGTGCAACTTATATATTAAAATTTTCACACCGACAGTTGTGAGAGGCTTTAGGCTTGTGTGCCAGTATATGCTACTCCTTTTACTCCTGTACCACTGTCACTTGGTGCTTTACTGCACATGTCTTCTGCAGAAATAGCTGCTGTCCTTTTGCAAGTAATGAAATATGCAGCTGAAAATGGTAATCGATCAGCAGAAAGAAAGTTTGGAGTGAGCCAGAAACTTGTGACACCGGCAAGGTGCACCATGCAACTTTCCTGGAAGTCACTGGATGGATCGACAAAGCCTGGATTTCAGGGACAACTGAAACCATCCTGTCGGGATTCAGAAAGGACGGAATAATTCTAACTGGGACTGATGTTGAGTCTGACGACAGCTACAGAGAAGAGGAAGCGGTGCTCTGTTTTCCTTCGGAGGTCGCGGAGTTGCTCAGACGTGACACTGAGGATGAAGCATTCAATGGATTTAGTGATTTGGAGTGAGATGGAGAGTTAAAGAGCGGTAAACTTGTTCTGTTCTGTTGTTCATGCTATAATTATCTGAATGACTGTTACATTAACAGCCTGTTGTTCTCTGTTCTATTGTTATCACTATAACTTGCCTTTCCAGATGAAATATTGGTTCCTGGTCTCTGATTTTAACAAATAAATTTCCCCCAAAAAGTGCAGCTTACAGTCCGGTGCGACTTACATTCTGTTTTTTCTTCTTCATTATGTGTTTTTTGCCTGGTGCGACATATACTCCAGAGCGACTTATAGTCCGAAAAATACGGTATAAACTCATTGTAGTGAATAATCAGAATGCTCGAAATGCACAAGGTATAATAACTTTGGACCACTGCAAACTATTTAAAATAAACTAGACAATAACAATCAGGTACAGAGCCTTTAACTTGATTATTAATTTCATAAGTCGGCAAGAACTGAATATATTCATACTCATACCCTTTATTGGTTTGGGAAAAAGAGGATCAATACTATTACTCAAAAAGGATTAGACAAAAACGTAAGTGATGGAAAAAGAGAATGGGCCAGGGTCATATACAGGTCGCCTGTCGCAGTGATGTAAAGACACTTGACAAACTCATAGTGCCATTTTTAGAATCAAAGTCCACAGACCTGGTCCAGAGACGAGGCTTTTTCCATGACTGTGTTCACACTGCTCTGTTACTCGGTCACAGGGTAGTGAGAGGAGGTCTTACTCACCAACTGTTACATGGGCATGACCAGTGAGTCAAACACCAGAGCACTCCGAAATACTCGCTGTCATCTAAGGTTACGTAATACATGGTTCAGAAATATAGTCTGTTTGTAATTGTAGAATGGGAACTTTCATAATAGGAAAATTTCAACACAAGGTAGGCCCAGAATAAACTGAACTGAAAATATCTGCACTGAGTAATTGCACTGGACTTCTTCCTGTCCAATTATTTGCTGAATCAGGTAGATGTTTGTATCTTAACACTAATGCTAATTTTAAAGGACAAAAATATTAAAATAACACCAAAAACTTATGTCGTCTAACTATAAGTAACTGTACAACAACAACAACAAAAACTCATCCTTATGTAACAGATAACCCTACGTCCTGTCAATCATCTTATTATTTTTGCACTGTTTTCCTTACGACCTCTTAAATATAGCTGAGATTTTTTACTACTTTGCTTCTTATTTAGAATTTATTATTACCATTTATATTTTTGACTCTTTGTTATTGTATTATAATGTGATGTGTGAGCTGCAAATAAAGTTTGTTTAAAGTCTAAATTTACTTTGCAAAAGAGAAAATCAATTCTGTCATAAAGTTGTGTCCTGTTGACAGAATTGAATTTCAGCTTTGCTACCTGGCTGACTGAGGGATTACACAGGTATAAAAATGATTGTGTTAACTTTGAGACACAGTGAGCACAGAGCAAAACATAGTCAACACTTACAGAAATTGCTTTAAGATTTAAATCTTATTTGCATTTGTCTATACTGTTTCATTCAATTATATCTTAAATATCTTATTACATTATCAGACCAGTGGTTCACCAACTTTTCTCATCAACTACCATTAAAGAAAATATTTGGCACCAGATCTAAACCAGGACTAGCTCGATTCATCAGACGGTTTCTACGAAGTGAACCAATTAAAGGAATGTAGTGATTTTGAAAAAGAATTTAGTCTTAATTTTTCTAACAGTTTTTGTGTATTTGGTTTGCTCAAAGTTGGGATGTTAACT